CTTTGATTTTGCTATCTCTATTCCAAGTATAAGAATTTTCTTTTCTCTCTGCTGCACTTTCTCTTTCCTGTTTAAGTGAACAATTCCTAGATCTTCCTCTTTTGCTGGAGGCGAAACTGTTGGATTTTTCTTTTATACCGTCTGTTGTACCCTATTCTAGTCTTGTATTGTAGTAATATATTCTTTTTGCCAGTGTTGCTAGTAGCTCTTCTTCTGATTTAAAAACCACAGATGCTGTGCTTCTTTGATTTTTGTTCCAGTTGTGTAAAATATACACTGCTTGTGCTCTAACTGGTCTCAACTGTTTTAGCAGCATAGTTTCAAGGGCTGTCTTTAGAATATTTTTTAGAATTGCTTTAAATTTTCCTCTTTCATCTAGAATGAACCTGTCGAATACTCCCTCTGACAATCTTAGCATCTTACCCTCTTCGAAGTGCACAGCCCAGGCATTTGTAAATATAGCTTTTCTTCTCTCGTTCCAAAAAGTTATGTTGAAGGAGACAGCTTTTTTTGTTCCTACAAATTCCCAGTGTTTAAATTGTACTTGGCCATAAAAATGCAGACATCTTCGCACTCTCGTTGCTTTAACTTCTGCTAGTATGTCCCAAAGAGTATAACAGATTTTTGAAGCCTCTGTAACTTTGCCTCTGTCTTTAATAGTTTCTATAATATCTATCTTCGGAGTATTGTCTCGGGTATTCACATTAGTAGATTTAACAGGCCGTGATTCTGTATTGTGTACTTCAGGTATGTCGAATACTTGGACTATATCTTCTTCTTTTTTGCAGGTTTTCTTGATTTCCCTTTTCTTTTCTATTGGGCTCACACTTCTTTTTCTTGGTTGAACATTAGTTTTGTACTGCTGCGACTTTAATTTCTCTTGTATATCATAATCTAACATGCCGTATTCCTGGTTAACTAATATCTCCTTTCTTTTTTTGCTTTTATTTGAGTCTATTAGGTCTATTAGTTGAGCATTCTCCCCATTTTTGATTCTCAGATACTCTAACCAGTTATAAGTTTCAATTAAACGTCTGAACAAACATATTAGTTGTGGCTCGGCTCCTACAAAAGCCACTATTTCATTGTCTTTTCTAAGATATTCTACTAGGTGCTCCTCTTTGAGCATGTTAAAATCATCTGTTGATTTTTTAAAAATGTTCTTGTACTTGTTTATC